AAAGAGATGTCTTAAAAACCCTATTGTGCCTGATGCTACAGAAGACACCATGAGATGTGAGGAATGTGGATTATTAGAATGCTATAGTTAGTAATGCATCTGGGAAGTATATTCTTAAACCTTACCCACGCAATATCACACTTTCTTGCTAATCTATCTTGCCTCTTGAGATGTTTTTATTCCACAATTCTGTTTCACCTGGGAGAGGTGTGAGATCAGCTTGTCCTCTGATTAACTAGGTTCTAACATCATTGCTGTAATCACCTCCCATCACTTTACATAAGAGTAGAGGAGGAAGGTGCTGTCTCTTCACTATGTAGTTCACTATGTAGAAAGAATCACAGTCATATTTCCTAGATTTTCATCTTATATAAATTCTAGTTTAATCAGAAAACTGTAAGACCTGTTGAACAATTGTCTCCCTGAGACACAAAAATAAGTTTTCAATCAAACCAGCTTGTTAGATCTAGAAGGAAAGGGGGAGAATTTATTCCCACCTTCCCAAAGATACAAAGCATTACAGCAAGCTTCTTTTCTCTAAAACAACAAAGAGAAAGACTGTTCTTTTGCAGACATTTTTTTTAGACAGTAAAGGATAAGCACTGATGGAAAGGGAGCTGTCCCACTGGCTGCACAGGAATCAGTATAATGTAGATTATGCTTAGGCCTTGTTCTAGAAATTTAGGTACAGAAGCATCTTCTTTTCCTGGATTACCTTTCCATGACATAATTGAGCACTTATAAAGGGAAGGAAGTGCCATTCTTGAATTGAGTGAATATGTCCCAGTAGTTTGGTTTTTGAAAAGTGAAGCTCTGAGGGAGTGGGAGAAACCCAGAAATTATATATTAATGAAATCTGGAGGAGGAGAAATTAGAAGCATCAGAAGTTTTTTTAATAGCAAAATTTCCTTCAAAATGTAAAAATGATTGACCAGAATGGGCTTGCATAGGCAGAGACCATAATCCATTGTCTCTCAAAACAATTATTTTGGAATTAGCATAAATCGACAGAAATTTGCCCATATGGAAGATGCAGTCACATATCTATGAAAATGAAGATGCAAAATGTAATATTCTATCTGTTTGGCAGAGATGAAGAGAGAGAATGAGAGAGGGAGGAAGAGCCATTGACTGTTTAGAATTAGGCCTGTTAGTCTTTGAAGAGTGCAAGACTGAGTCCTGTATATTTAACTGGTGAGTAAAGGGCCTGTAGTGTGAGGCACAACAGCTTACTCTGACAATGCCCTGCATTCATCACTCTAGAAAAGAGGAAAAAGAGTCCCCCTAGTGTACCAATGCTGTAAGAAGCAGGAGGATCCCTTGCTTGATTCATTAAATCTGCTGCAAGCTCTGCTATGGCATGTGAACAAGTGCCAAAAGGTATTTTAGTAAATTCCTGGTCTCTGTTGATCACTAGGCTTCTAGTTTGTGAAGTAAGGAACCATAAACAATTATAAATAATGAGCTTTAAAAAATGAATGTGTGTTCTAACACAGTTTAGCTATTAAGTAATTGGGGTTTGCATTGCTGTATAATTCTAACCATTGTTTTTGTCATCCAGAAAATATATATTCTCCTGGGAAACATAAGACAAATTACTATAGACATTAATACTATTTTCACAAGTTCTTAGGTGTGTAGCTGAGAGGTAAATTCAAACTATTCTATTCAAAAGTACCACTTTAATTTTTTTTTTGTTCTTTCAATTAAAAAGGGAAAATCTACTGCAGATAAAAGTATTCAGTGTTGCCGGGGAGTGCTACTCTTCCTGGCTGCCAGAGATCCGGTGTGCAGCTCAAAACACAGGCTTTGTGTCACCTTGAATTTGCACTGTCACAAATTAAGTGATAAAGCAGCCTCCTCCATCTGTAAGCCTTGATCAATGCCCCCCTCTCAACTATCTTAGGTTCAACAATGCAAACCTGTCTCTTTGTGCCCGGTGCTGAAGGGGCATGCATATAGGAAGGCATATCTGCTGTATATTGCTGTGGCTCTATAAGCGGTTTCCTCTTGGGTACACTGAGGGAGAGCCACAGATAAAAAGTTTCAAAGGAGACCAGAAGGTCTCTGTTGGGGATACAGCACAGCTGGTTTGTAAGCAGTATTTGTCATTCTGTCCTTCAATAGCTTTCCTCAAGTTGCCAGTGCTAAAGGGAACCTGGCCAGTGGAGTTCCCCTGTTGAACCCAGCTCTCCACCCAAGTCTGCTTGTGGCGGATTAGGAGCTACCTTGCTCTCACCTTTTTGACTGTTGACAAGAGAGCTAAATAACCTCTTCAGCAGCAAAGGAAATGGGGGGGGGGATGATGTGTTAGGGAGAGAATTCCTTACAGTAAGTAAAAAGGCAAAACTGGACCAACACCTCATAGGAGATGGCCTGTGGAAAGCTCAAAGGATGAGCAGCAAAACTGAAACAGTGTCCAGGGACCAGTTGTGCAGCCCCTACAGACAGGACCAGGCAGATGTGGCTGAGGGTGAAGATCTCCAGCTCCTCAGAGGTAAGGGCAGCTCCAGGGGTAGCAGAAGAGGCTCTTACAGCTGTTCAGATTAACAGTGGTGACGTGACTTATGCAGAGGCATTAGGTGCAGGGATGTTGTTTTACATTTGGTGGCATAGACTGGCATTTCCTGGAAGTATAGTTTAATTATGGCACAAAGAGAGGCAGCACATATCTCACTTTGGGAGGAAGAAGCTCTTGCAGTTCTGAGAGTGCGCAACGCGTTAGTTGGTTTGTTGGTGCGTAAGGGTGCAACAGATTTGTGTATACAATGCTGTGCTTATTTATGTGGTGCAACATATGTCTATGTCAGTGTCTTTGCTAATAAAAACCCCAGTGCAGTGGCAATTGTCAGGTTTAGTTACTTAAATAAGTTAAGGGAATTTGATAGGTGTTTATGCATATTCACTGCAAAAAGGCTCCTCCTGAAGAGGAACTATAAAATAGACATCCTTTACTTTCCGTTCAGCTTCACATGCAGTATTTGACTTCTGTGTGTGTGTTTTCCTGGAGACAGCTGAGGCGATCTCCTCTACTCACTCACCCACTTACCAGTTGTATTTTGAATTGCTTGTGATGATATGGATGTTGATTATGGCCTTCACAATACTGCCTGTTTTTTCCACAGAACTGTCCTGAAGGATGAGTCCACAGGAAATTCTCAGCTGACCAAAAGGCAGACCAAGGTATTGGTTCAGTGTATTTTCTTTCATGAGTAAGAAGCAGATAAGATTTCAGCACAAATGGTGCATTTTAATTATGTTTATCAATGAAATGCAAAGCAGATGTTGGCAGCACCATTTCAAGTACTCCTTCCCCATCTCCGAGACAATGCTTCAGTGCTAACACTGTATATCTTTCTAAAAATGCTAAATCTGAAAAGTTTGTAATGCTAAAATATCTCGCTGACCTAGGAACACTTCTTGTTCCCCATGCATCTGCATGTCAGTTCTTCTTGTTTCTAATTTTTTAAATACATACCAAAACTTCCTTTCTTAAATTTTTTCTTAAAAATTAAAAAAAAAATAAAATTGTATTCTAAAAACTCAAACAATGCAAAGTAAACTGGATGATCCCTGTCTGTCTTACTCCCTCAACATCCATTTCATTTGTCTTATACTTGCATGCATGTGCATATGTATATATGTATGTATGTATACATACATACATACATACACATACACATTCCAACCACTCCTGCATGTTGGATCTTAAAATAATATTGTAGGAAAAATTAGACTGGCAAGTGCTGTGCCTACAATTGGAATATTGTTGATATTCTCACATTTCTTTGACTATAACAGCTAAGATCAATATTTTCAATACCTTTAAAAATGAGATAATAACTTCAAAATATTGCCAGAAATTTAATTGAAATGGAAAGGGTGTGTTAGGTTTAAGCTTAGAGACTAAACTACTTTTAATTCTGCATTTTTGCTTCTGACAATCTTTGGAAAGCATACTGTTTGCACTAGTAACTGAAAAGCAATTCTAGGAGGACAGAAAGATGCACTAAGATTTATATGAAGGTGTAATACAGCAAAAAGTTTATGGGCCGTTATTCTACTGTATTTCCAGAGGACTGTATTGGTCTTCAAAGGGTTAAAGTGCTACCAGGTTGCATTAATGTCACCCTTCAGAAATCACTGGCCAATAACGTATCAGCAATCAGTGCTGCAGTGTGTTGTTCAGGACACTCAGTTTTTGGAGACAAGTGGCTGATATATTTTGACAAGAAGAAAAAATAGTCTCAGAAATTCTTGCAAATCTTAACTCAGAGGGGAAGATATATGAAACAAACTGCTTCCATTAGAAAAAATGGTAATGTTTGCCTTCGTAAGTAACTAGATTTTATGTCAGTTCAGTGGAGCAGTGAATGAACCAAAACTCTGCTAACCTTCAAAATGCAAAGGATTCTGTAAGTAGGATTTACATAGTCTGAATATTTTATATTTTGAATGCTCATCACAGCTCACATAAACTAATACTTTGATATATATTTCCAGTAAAGAAAACATTTGACTTCTGGTGGAGTAAAGCAGTGAGACATGTTTTGGCTTGTGACTACAGACACAGGTTTCTCAGCCCTTGCTCCTTTTTCTCCTGTTAGCAATTTTCTTCTGTCTAGTTCTTATAATTTGTGCACATTCGAAGAAGGCAACACAATCTACTTCACTTTTACACAAAAGAAACTTAAAGAAAAAAAAAATCAAGAACTCAAACAGCCATAAAGTAGAACTATAAAGGAGGGAATAAAAATAGAGGCTGCAAGAGAACACAAGGGGTTAAAGTTCTGACCACTGTCTGCATATATAAAATCATATCACCTTATCTGAAAAGTTTAGGCTCAAAAGAAAACCCTTGGCTTAAAATACCTTTTAGGTATATTAAATCTTTAGGCTGAAGATTACAGCAAGTGTTTTCTCTTTGGTGAGTAGCTGTTTGTCTCACTTTATTTACTTGGTATTGGGTATTTGTCAATGTCATTTCATATCTGCAGAAAATTCATACGTTCCATGGAAGTATGTATGTGTGTGAGTGTGCTGAAGGTCACATGACTGTTTCATCCTATTTGGTGGAGCAGCTTGACTTTTTTTCTCTTGCTTTTGGTGATGGTTGTGAGTGCAGAAGTTGATTGACAGATGCATGCCAGAAACCCCCATTCTCCTTTTCAAAGACTACATATGATGGATTGCGATCTTTCAGCTCAGCAGGACACAGGGACCATGCAAGCTGTAATTGGTCAGGTATGGAGTCAGCCATTTCTCAACTCCCCTTTTATTTTTTTTTTTTCACAAGGGTCTAACCATATGATTCACATAATTCATATTTACAGTACCATCTTTCTATCTGTATCTTCAGCTACCAGCAAGTGTAGTACTGAAAGTGAGAAAGGCAAAAGAACCACAATAATCTGGCCAGGGAATCACTAGATAAACCTAAATTACCAAGCTTTTCTTCTAATAAACCCCGTTTATAATTTAGTCTGAGCTTTACCAAATCAATGAATTTAATAATTTGCTGTTTTATTTTGTTTAAATGTGCTGAAGGAGAAGAACTGAGGAGTGAAACTGTTATGTTTGCTGGGGAGTTGCTTTCTATTTCTAATGCTATTCATTATTTCTATATTGACTGTTTTCCTGTACTACAGGCTGTGGCTTTTTCAAAATTATTATTATTTTTTATTTTTTCTTCTTTTACTCCTAATCCAGAAATGTGTGATTGAGCTTGGTAAATGTAGTAGTCTCTGCTGCTGCAGAGGGGCAGCCTGCAAATTAAACACTGCCACAATCTGAAAGGTCCAGGTGGTCTGCTCGTGCTTCCTAATGCAATCCAGCACAACAGCTTTAATAAACAGCTCTATTTAGTTCTCCCTCCCTGTATCCAGGGAAGTGAACTGGTCTGGGGCTGCTGTGATGAAATGCCAGAAGAATATCTCTCAAAGGCCTCACAAGCTGATTTTTAGAGCTTTTCCGTTTTGTCGTCTTTGTCTTCCAAATGGGTCAGTGAGTCCTTCTCTTTCTGTTTTGTGATTTCTGATAAGTCTGTAGGTTTTATATGTGTGTTTTAACCGTGCTGTTTTGAGCTTTAGCCAGAAGAGAGAAGAATCATTGTCTTTTCATTTGCTTCAAATAATAACCTGAAGTGGGGAAAGAAATTAAATTATTTTGTTCTGATGAACAGGGAGGGCTGTTTTCCTATGAATGCAGTCGGAGTCAGATGAGGGTGCCTGTTTTTGTTTTTCTAACAAAATTTTAAGTGCTCAACACTTTGTCATTAACCATTGGTTTGTAAATCAGTCTCTGGTAAAGGGAATTTTCTGAACTCTCAAAAGTTTTTGGTTTTTTGCATATGTTTCCAATATAGTGAATGCATGCTGCTGAGGTGATGACATAGTATTTGTTTTCTATATGCTGATACGATGGTGGAAAAATATGCATTCTACACGCTGTTTTCAACTAAATTATGTCAAAGCACAGAAGTCCCTCAAAGCACATGGTTTATTAATACCATCGTACACAGTAATGCATTTCTGGGTGGAAAATGTCAAATATGTAATACCATGTTTACCATAGACTTTTATTGCTTTAAATATTTTAAAAATAGAAGATACATTTTTTATAAAAATCCTCCAAACATTAACAGCTTTCTATTAGGCTGACTTCTGCCTAAAAAGCGGGGCATGTTTGCTAGTACTACATTATGTGAAAATATGTATTTTAGAGTGTGTTAATTATCTTTTTGTTTTATTTGGTCAGTCTTAAAGATATATATTTAATGATACAAAGGCAGATACAATGGTAAGGTTTTGAGCAAATACACTTGACAGAAAATGTACGCTGAAACATTGATAAATCGCAAAGCTAGCAATATCTCTTTAATGTAACTTTTTTGGCATATAAGAAAGTGTAAGTTAGCTATTTTATATTGAAAGCTTACCAGCACTCAGAAAGTGATCTTGAGGCTGGAAAAGATAGAAGGATTTTTTTTTTTTCTGTGTGTAACATTCCATATTTCATCAATTAAAAAAAGTTCAGTGAATGTCTGCAAAAATGTTTATATCACGTGTTAGTGTATTTCATTTCCTAAAATCAGTAGCAAAAACATGGACTTCAAAGAAAAATACATTTAGCTATTCTAGGTGACTAACTTCTTTTGGGATTTACATCAGAATTTGTAATTATTATTCTGAAATTTACTCTTAGGTTTGCAAACCTTTTTTTTAGATCTCTGTGTGTGCATATTTACATATCATATGTGTAAGTGTGCACATCCAAGTGTGTTCACAAGTCCACAAAATTTTCAAGTATGTTTTTGTTTTTGATTAATTGTCCAGTGTTCAGTTGTTATTAGGTATGTGTTAAGATAGAACAAAAAGTTAAATTTTTTTTCTGATAAAAAATTATATATCTTCTAGTTGTGTAATAAAAGAGTTAGTTAAAACTTTGGAACCTCAGAGCAATCAGTATAATTACCATACATTGCTGAAAATAGAAATAGACTTTTCTCTATGAAATTTCATAGAAAATAACTATCAGAAGGCAAACCTTATGCCAGAAAACATTTCCACACTGTAAGTCTATATTTAGTAGTGATAAATAATAAAGATTTGCATAGTTGGTTGTTACATATTTTTAGAAGACACTTTTATTTCCCGATGCTACTAGAAAAAGTTCTTAAAAGTCTTTGTTAACTTTCAAACCTTCAAAAGCAAAAACTTAAATAAATGTTTATCATTTTGTCTTTTTATTTCAGAATTGTGTTTTTCTTCAGCCATGAGAACAATTTTTTTTTTTGGCTAATCTTGGAGGTGTAGCTTTAAACTCAGTCTTGTTTACCGCTAATGGAGTGTGAAGTTGCCTAATTAAAAATCCAAACCATACATATATAACACTGATGTAATGGAGATCTGAAACACTAGCAGTTATTTGTAGTTCAAACACTAGTTTGTGTATGACATGAATGTAATAGCAGGAGCATACTGATTTAAAGGTATTTTGAACACCAAATACTTGTTCATCATTAAATGCATTTTCCAATTTTTTTAAAAAAATCTGGATTTCATCTGTCTCTCACCACCAGTGTCCACAGTGGCTCCCACTGGTGATGTCAATGATGGGCAGAGTGCTACAATCCTGACCATTACCTAGCACCTGGGTGTACTGGACACAGGGTGCAGAATTGCTTGTGAGCCTTCCCTCTGGATCTTTCCTCCCCCAAGCAAGCAATAAAACAGTCAACTACTCTGAAGAACAACCTCCTTGCCTAGTGTGTCAAGATCTAGAAGCTCATTGCTCATTGTGATTTTGATTCATAACTGGAGTGTTTGGCATGAAACCCCGATTCCTGCCAGCAATAGTCTGTAGCATCCTTCCTTGCACGCTGAACGATAATACCCATTATTTCTTCAATTGTGTTTTGATCTTATGGAAACTATTGGCTGGATTTTTATGCCATATTCCTTATATATCTGAATGAACAGGTAATTAAATGTGTCATCTAATTATTCCAATTATGCTGTAATTTCTCCACCTTGTATGGTTTCTAAAACCTGTACTATACGTTTCTCTTCTTTTTTTTCTCTCTCCATCTTTTTTTTCTTTTTTTTTTTTTTTCCTTTGTATTTTCTTTTTCCTTTTTTTTTTTTTTTTTCAGACCTGAGCTTGTGAGTGACAGGTTAGTTCATCAGCATTACAGCCCTCCTGTTTTTGTCTCATCTCATGCAGACAGGTCACTGTGTCCAATCACCCTTCTGGCTCTGCTATCCCTGGGGGAGCCCAGGCCAGCCTGCCATCTTGATCCACCGGCCTGAGGGCCCAGGCTGGCTGCACATTTCTGTGTTCACTGGTTCTTGCAAATATAGTAAAACGGGAAGGGGAGGGGGGCAGCTTAAATTAGATCTCTGTATATTGAGAGGAAGAAACTTAGGTAACATTTTTCTTCAAATAAGCATGTGTTTGCAGTTATTATTGCTATGTTGGAGTTCTCTTTCTAAAAGTTAAGTGTGTTTATTTTCTGTATTTCAGTGGTATCCTCCATATGATCTCACCAGTAGTAAATGCTATTTATGCAAAGGTAAACATGCTCTTTTCCCATAGAGAGTGCTGATTTGAAGCCCAGTTTGTGAAACTGATACATTGTTGCAACCAATGTGGGTCTGTTTCAGTTTGTTGCCTTTTTTCTAAATTTTGTTTTGTGTTCTTCCCAATGATTAACAAAAATAGAACAGGGGGATAGTGTTTCAGAAAAGCCCTTCCTTTCTGTAACTCATGGGTCACTTTTCAGAAGTTTGATCTGTTGCCAGTATTATTTTATAAAGCAGATTAATCCATGTACAGGAGTTTAATTTTTACCAAATGAAGATCACATCTATAATGTTAGTTTGTCTTGAGCAATCTCTAAGTGATTTTTCTTGTAGTAGTAGAGGACTTTTTCTCCTGGAATACCTGTTTCAATCTTTAATCAAATATAAAGAATTGCCTATAACATATGCAAGCAAAAGAACCATCTTACAAGTAAATTTAAGACCCACTTTTATAAGACACCAGGGAATTGCATCCTTTCGTCTGCAGTTTGGGACAAATCCCCTTCTTTCTAGCAAGAATTAGACCCATCACTGTAAGCATGACTACTTGCATAAGTAAGGTCAGACTACTTGTCCCCTTGTCTGCTTAGTGTATGTCCAGCACAGACATTGTTGTTCTTTACAGTCACCAGCAGTGGTTTTCTGCAGTTCAAGACTGCGAGAGAGATATTTCTGGACAGGTACGCACTGGCTGCTGTTTTCAGTAGCAGAGAGACAATGAAACAATGAGAATTATGTTTGAAAAACTTCAAAAATGTACTTTTTAATATTTATGAACAAGCCGATACTCTGATAATGAAGCATTCCATCTTTGCAGAAACCCGCTGTTGTATACGCTCTAGAATACTGTGTCCCTAAGAATTATTATTGTAAGGATATGCAGGAATGTGGCTGTGATATTTTACAGTATAAATATTTGTTGTAGAGAAGTTTGGATCTCATTAATTTAATATATGTAAACTCTTTGGTCCTAGGCCTAGATTCCAGCAAAAGAATGCATTTTTCTGTTGACTTCTGTTTTTACAACAGAAAAGATGGATTTTTTTTCATTCTGATTCATGCTTAAAAAAATTTGTCATCTTTTCACACCAAAATTGGAGTTTAATTGAAATCAACCTTCTAAAAACATCTTTAATATTTTTTTTTCTTATGGAATTTCTT